TTTTTCATATCACGATATTATCGCAAATGCAATTAATCGTTCAGCCCTAATGTCAGCCACTAACTCATGTACACATGCTTTTTTTTGCCTTGTAAAATTCTTAGTTAAACTTTTTGTTTTTTTTCTTTTAGGTTTACCACGGGACACATCTGGGCCTGCCCTCCTAGTGAAGGAGATGATTACATCTTCCACTGTCACCCTCCAGACCAGAAGATACCCAAGCCGAAGCGGCTGCAGGAGTGGTATAAGAAGATGCTGGATAAATCTGTATCGGAGCGCATCGTGCATGACTACAAGGTACAATTTGGACATTTTGTTATTGTAAGAATGTTTTATTATAAATATTTCAGCATACAAGAGCGAGATCAAGAAATGTGTTTTTTTTTTTTACAGGACGTCTTCAAACAGGCAACAGAGGATCGCCTCACCAGCGCCAAAGAACTGCCCTATTTTGAGGGTGATTTCTGGCCCAATGTGCTTGAAGAGAGTATCAAAGAACTAGAGCAAGAAGAGGAGGAAAGGAAGAGGGAGGAGAACAGCACATCCAATGAGAGTGTTGATGTTAGTCTTTAGGCTCTCGCTTATCTCAGGTTTTGTTCCCCTGTTAAAGTGCTTTTTCACACAGCTGTGAACATTTCTTTTTGTTTCTCCAGACAACAAAAGGTGACAGCAAAAATGCCAAGAAAAAGAACAACAAGAAGACGAGCAAGAACAAGAGCAGCTTAAGCCGAGCCAACAAAAAGAAGCCGGGCATGCCAAATGTGTCCAATGACCTTTCACAGAAACTATATGCCACAATGGAAAAGCACAAAGAGGTATGAAGAAGACTAAAGCCTGATTCAGTGTCTGTATTATGATTGTCTAATCAAGAAACATCATCAGACTTTTAGTGTTTGTCAAGTTTGGTGGCATCCTGGTCAATATTTTTGTACAATGTTAAAGGGATAGTTCACCCAAAAATGAAAATGTTATGTTTATCTGCTTACCCCCAGGGCATCCAAGATGTAGGTGACTTTTGTTTCTTCAGTAGAACACAAACAAAAATTTTTAAAGGGGTCCTATTATTCTCTTTTACAAAGTCTTGATTTTGTTTTGGGGGTGTACTAGAACATGCTCTCATATTAGGTTGTTCGAAAAACATTATTTTTCAAATATTTTACATTATTACAGCACCTCTCTCCCCAGTCTGGCATGAACGGCTCGAATAGTTCCTGTATCAAATGAAGGCCCGCCTTCTGAAATACGAAATGTGCTGTGATCGGTTTGCTTGGGCCAGTGTGTGCTGTGATTGGCACCACTCGGCGCCTGGTCGGGAAATGTCATGCCCCTTACCATAGCCGCCTGCGAGCTTCAGTGTAAATATTACGTCAAAATCAAATCAATTTGAGCGCGATTTAAACCCGGATGATTGTAACCACTCTAAGTTCGTCGATCTTGGGAAAGCTATCGTGTCTCAGACATAGTAATAACACTCGTTGCCTAACGAGTCGTTCGTTGTAGTTTTTGAAAAGTGATTTCTGTTAAATAAAATATCTCCTTTTGAAATGGACTTTGAGATTTGTAACTTTGCAGATCTTTTTTATGCTCAAACAGCAACATTACAGAGTAACTAAAGTTGAAAAAGCATAATAGGACCCCTTTTAGTGCTATAATCAGGTCCCCAGTGCATCTACCAACCAAGGAAACGTGAAAAAGATTAAC